GTGGGTGGATGGATTGAAGGAAGGGTGTGTGAGTGGATGTATGGATGTAAGGATGGATGGATGATGTAAGGGTATGTGGGTAGATGGATGGATGGATGGGTGGGTGGATGGATGGAAGGATGGATGGGTGGGTGGATGGATGGAAGGATAATAATACACTATATATAATAGGATGGATGGATGAGTGAGTGGAATGAATGAGTGGGTGGGTGGATGGATGGATGGATGGAAGGAAGGATGGATGGATGAGTGAGTGGAATGGATGAGTGGGTGGGTGGGTGGATGGATGGAAGGGTGGATGGATGAAATGCATGAGCAGATGGATGGATGGAATGATGGATGGAAGTGTGCATGGATGTATGGAATGGATGGGGACAGATGTATGGAAGGTGGATGGATGGATGGATGAATGTAAAGGTGTATAGATGGATGTAAGGGTGGGTGGGTGGATGGATTGAAGGAAGGGTGTGTGAGTGGATGTATGGATGTAAGGATGGATGGATGATGTAAGGGTATGTGGGTAGATGGATGGATGGATGGGTGGGTGGATGGATGGAAGGATGGATGGGTGGGTGGATGGATGGAAGGATAATAATACACTATATATAATACACTTCTTAAAGCTGAAAGCCTCCTCTCTGAAAACTTATAGACTATCAAAAACACCTGAAAATAAGTTGCATTTTAATCATTATCGAAATAAATGCACTGCTGAATTACGTAAAGCTAAACAACAGTATTTTGAAAGGCAAATTATTTCAGCTGGAACAAACCCAAAAACATTGTGGCAAACAATTAAATCTATAACAGGAGAAAATAACAACAAAACTTTCAACAAAAATTTACAGATTTCAGTAGAAGGTGTGCTTATTTCTGATCACGAAAAAATTGCTAACCAATTTAATGAATACTTTGTTTCTTCTGTTCGGGATTTGTTATCTGGGCCTTCTAATAGGCCAAAGTCATCTAAATCATGTGACACCTCTGAGATGTTTTCCTTTTCAGAAATTTCACAGACTGATATATTGGATATATTACAGTCTTTAAAAAGCTCACATGCCTGTGATATATTCAAGTTAAATATGAACTTCCTGAAAACGCATCTCAGCACTTTTGTACCATTATTCCATCACCTGCTTAACTTATGCATTACACAGTCCATTTTTCCCGTTGCCTGGAAGTCTGCACAGATTACTCCTATTTTCAAATCTGGCGATCCAACTGATGTTTCAAATTATCGACCAATTTCAGTTCTTCCAACTTTTTCCAAGTTACTTGAAAAAACACTATTTAACCAATTACTTCACCATTTAGAGGTTAATAATATGTTAAGTGATAACCAACATGGTTTTCGTGCTTCTCGATCAACCATGTCAACATTAATATTATTTACTGAACAAATACGTGCTGCTCTGAATAAAGGTCAAATAACTGGTTCTGTATACATTGATTTCCGTAAAGCCTTCGATACAGTCGATCATTATACTCTCTTACAAAAATTGACTTCTTTTCAACTTTCTTCTTCTGCAATACAAATGTTTTCTTCCTATTTAACTGACAGGTGTCAGGTAGTGAAACATGGAAGTTGTATATCCCGATCACTGCCATGCTCTGTGGGAGTCCCGCAGGGTAGTATACTGGGACCATTGCTTTTTTTACTTTACATAAATGACCTTCCAAAAGTACTTAATCACTCTAATATTTTAATGTACGCTGATGATACTGTTCTTTTCCTGTCTGGTTCAAATACTGATTCTATCAACAGTCAGTTACATGCAGATCTTCAGCAATTTCATTTCTGGCTACAAGAAAATCGCTTAACGATTAATGTAAAAAAAACCGTATGCATGTATTTTTCCTCACCTAGGAAACATTTTACTATATCAAATCCTCTTTTTTAAACAAACCTCTTTCTATTGTCACTACTTATAAATATCTGGGAGTTATTTTGGATTCTCATTTAACTTATCATGATCATGTGCAATCCTTATGTACTAAGCTGAAACAAAAAATGTATGTTTACTCCAAAATTAGATCAAATCTGACATCTTCTGTTTCCAACACTTATCTTCATGCCATAATACTTTCAACTCTGTCGTACTGTTTACCTGTCTGGTCTCTCACTACTAATGAAATATTAAAACCCATCGCTAGGCTCTACAACAGGGCCTACAAAATCCACAACAAACTCCCTGGTTGGACTCATCACTGTACAGCTCTTTCTTCTTCAAATGCTTTAACTTTTCAAAATTATGTCCTACACAGCAGTATTAAGTTGTATTTCCAGGTTTTTTATGGTATTAATAATGTAGCTCTCTCTGCTTTGATCCCTAAATCCAAGTGTGGAAATGGTCGCTCAACTAGAGCTGCTACAAGCGGACAATTGCCACTACCAGCCTTTAAAAACTGTTATGGACAGAGATCGTTTTTCTATGTTTACACCAAAGCATGGAATGACACTCCACAACATGTGAAATCCATCTCAACATTGGCACTTTTTAAGAAGACTCATGTGCGTCATCTGTTAGACTCCTTCTTTTGCAATCACTGTTAGGTGTCTGCCGTGTAAATGCTGCTGTTCTTGTGTTTTGTAATGTGATGTGTCTGTATGTCTATTGATGAGGTGTGGTGCTGAATATCTGTGTGCTTAATTTATGTTCTGCAGAACAGGAACCTGCTGTAAAACAGCAATTATGCTGAGCCAGGCCCGATTTCTTTTAATCTTTTCCTGTTTAAAAATTAAATAAATAAATAAATAAAAAATGGATGGGTAAGTGGATGGATGGATGTCAGAAAGGATGGGTGGATGGAATGGATGGATGAATGAAATGGATGGACAGATGGATGGATGGAATGATGGATGGAAGGGAGGATAGATGGATGGAATGGATGGATAGATTGGTGGGTGGGTAGGTAGGTGGATGGATGGAAGGGTGGATGGATGGATGGATGGAAGAATGGATGGATGGGTGAGTGGATGGATGCATGAATGGATAAATGGATGGATGAATGGATGGAAAGATGGATGGCTGAGGGGGCGGATGGATGGACTGATGGATGGAAGGGGGGATGGACTGATGGATGGAGGGTGGGTGGATGGATGGACAGACAGACAAAGGTCAGTGTATTTGTTATCTGTGCATGCTGAAGATGTGGTGCAGATGTGGTTCAGTGTTGTTTCTTACCTGTGCAACGGTCTCATACGCCAGGTATGAGAGGATCTCCATGGCAACGCTGTTGGGTTTCAGCTCCAGGCTGCTGCAGTCCAACCAGTCCCGGAACTTGGAGGCTTTCTTGGCTGCAGAACACACAATAAAGAAACAAAGAGTCACACTGTGACTTGTACAATCCTGAAAACCATGTACACCAGAAAAATCTGACCATGTTCCAGAAAAATGAATCCTTACCGAAGCTGAGCTGTCGACTCTCACAGAACTCCGAGTACTGAGCCGGATCCATATTCCGAGTCTGACGCTCCAACCGCTGAATATTCAGACAGAGTTCCAGTGAACATCAACCATATCTCCAGTAAACTTTAACATGCAGCAGGCGACCTCTGACCTCCATCCTTTCCTGTTTGATGGGATCTACTTCCTGTCGCTCAGCCAATGACAGAAGTTCACCTGTCTGATCCATCCATGCTAGGAAGTCCTGGGCCAGTCGCTGCCTCCGCTGGTTCCCACCAGCAGCTGCACCACCTGACAAGGAGACAAAATATAAATCGACAGCCCAAACCATCAGTTCCAGCTGGAGTCTGGCTCTCAAACGTGTACTTTAATACAAGTCCAAGTGTTTACCTGGCTCCTGCTGCACGTCTTCATCCTCTAAAGTTTTCAGAAGCTTGGATTTATAATCTCTGAACTGGAGATACTTGATCAGTCGTGCCAGCTTCTTCTGAAAGACAGATATTCAGGCAGAAGAGATGAGACAGTCATTTCTTGTAAAGCTGTTTTATTTGGGTTAGTGGTGAGAAGAACTTTTCTTGATGAATTTTTGAGTGTAAGCAGTTTGTAATCTCTCCACCTTGTCTCTCCTCATCAGGAACAGGATGTCCTCAGCTGAGATGACCCTCGAACCCCGAAGTGCAGCGCTGTCACAGGCCTGGTGCAGCTGATAAACAAACCAACAGAGATGTTCAGGTATGAAACAACCAGGAGACATGAGATCCAGCAGTTCCAAACGTTGGTTTCAGGTCCGTTACCATATTAATGAGCTGAGTGTGTACGATGTCCTCAACCAGGGCTGCGGTTTCATGCAGAGGTCTGCGAGCATCTCCCAAAGCAAACCTGAACAAACACGCACCGACATTTGATCAGGTCGACGTAAAACCAAACAAACCTTAGAGTACATCTCCCCAAAAATGAGAAAAAATGCAGCTGATAATTGGAGGATCTATAAAGAGGCAGTGGCTGCACTCACGTGTTTGAATCTACTTGTGAGAAATTATTTTACATCCTGCCAGAGACGTGTTTATCTACACGTGTGTTCAGGTACAGACAAGGATGCATTTGTTGAACTCCTTAAGGGCCAGGAATAGTCCGCCCAAAGTGGTAAAATCGGCTCTCACTGACGTAGTTGTGTGATGAAAACCACGTCATTTTGTTCTCAGAGCAGCTTTGCCCCTTCTCGACACAAAGCCCAGGCCGAACTTTTTCTCACAGGCGTTTGCACCAAGGATTGTGTGATTGATCAGAAGTTTGTGGGCGTGTTCGTCAATGTCGAAATACGCAGACATTCAGATGTACAACTCTTTAAATATACCAAATCAGTACGTTGGATGGAGATCGTGCAGACATTGTGTATGGAGGAGTCTGTCTGCTGGAAAGTGTGGTGCCTCTTCATGATGGATTTGTGTCCAAACAGCAGGGACGGAGTGGAGACTCTGGTGGGAAGAAACCTGTGCACGTCTAGACTGGACTATTGCAATGGTTTATTATCTGGGTGTCCACTAGCTTCATTAAAAAGTCTTCAATTAATCTAAAATGCTGCTGCCAGAGTCTTAACTGGAGTTAGTGGGAGAGATCATATCTCTCCAGTTTTAGCTTCTCTCCACTGGCTCCCTGTCAAATCCATTGAATTCAAAATCTTACTTCTAACCTACAAAGCCCTCAACAACCTAGCTCCATCTTATCTTACAGATCTTACTGTTCCATATTTTCCTAACAGAGCACCTCACTCTCAGACTGCAGGTTTACTTGTGGTTCCTAGAGTTTCTAAAAGCAGAACGGGAGGCAGATCTTTAACTTATCAGGCTCCTCTCTTGTGGAACCAACTTCCAATCTTTGTCCATGAGGCTGACACATTGTCCAGTTTTAAGATTAGGATTAAGTCTTTCCTTTTTGCTAAATCCTATAGTTAGGTTCGGCTTGGGTTTCCTGAGCTATCCCATAGTTATGCTGCTAGGCTTAGACTGCTGGAGGACAAACTAACCACATTTCCTCATTCTGCTGCCGTCTTTACTTGCTCTACTCTACCTGTTGGTATTTGTAATTATTTCTATCTTAACATGCTTTTTGTTTTTCTTCCTATAGAACCAACATGTGGACCTGTCGTTCTGTTTGTTTCTACTTCCTGTCCTCTGAAACACAGCCGGTCGAAGCAGATTGCCGCTCACCTTATCTATTTCTTATTGCTCTTTTTGGCAGTATTGTTAATGCCTGTAGTGTCGTTTTGTAATTGTTGCCCCAGATTTCTGCACAATAACTTAAATAAGGTAAGATTAGTGAACAGTAGATTACATGTGATCCTTTTTGTTCTAAGACCGACTTGACTTTGTTTAAGAGGACAATACTTTTTGAGACTTTACTTTGAACATATCTGATGTGCGGTTAATGACACCTAGAAATTTGTTTTCATGAACTTTTTCAATATTCAGCCCATCTATTTGTATTTGAATTTCTGCATGTGGTTTTTCCTTTCCACCGTCTCCTTTGTGCTTGCTCAGGATGGGAGAGTGCGACTAAATGAAGATTCAGTGAGTCTGCTGTCTTCCTCAGATAGAGAACTTTTACTACAGTAATTATCTTTTATATGTATGTGAATGTTTCTGTTCAGCTCTGAGGAGACTTCTGTTGTGACTTTAAACTAAATTGAACTGAACTGTGTGGTGACGTATACTGCACTGGGAGGGGTTTCCCAGGAGCTCCGTGTCTGTGTCTTGTGTACTATAGAAAGTGTGTGAGGAAACAAACGTCCTACACCCATGTGACCGTGCCCCGACTGTTTGGCGGAGTATGCCGGGCCCTTTACTGCTCATTTATACACTTGTTTTTTTCTGAAATGTGACCGAGTTAGAAGCAATCATTAATGTATTTATTAAGGCTTTAAGTATGCAGTAAACAAAAAAATGTGAAAATGAATGACTTGTTGTTTGTTTTACAAATTTATGTGAAAATAACAAGAGCAGGTTTGTTGTTGGTACCCTTAAAGAGACCTTTAATCTTTTAATTACAGTCACGTTTGTTACTCTGTGTGTTTAGTAGCACAGGTGCCTTCAAGCTTTTGAATCAGACGTTCAGCCGTTTTACAAGGAACAGACAGACACTGGCTAGTTTGGTTCGGTTGTTACCACACTGAGCCTGGAGCAGAGGAGCTCATTGCTGCCATGTTGATTTCTATAGATTTCAATAGATCGTTCACTGAAGTTGATCAGAAAAGATCATTCCACTTTGGTTCAAATGAACAGATTCAGTTTTTGTTGCACTTCTGAACATTTGATTTGACCTTTATTGGTCCCTTTCGTTCACAAAAGGAAATAAATAATATTAAAGCGTTAACGCAGTAAAAGTTATTTTTGTCACGCGCTCTTAAAAAATATTTTTTTCTTTTAGATTCAATTAAATTATGTTCATAGTACAATTTGCATGTGCATACAAATCAAAGTCTTCATTACAATGAGCAGAGTTTGCAAATACACTGGGGTCAAAAGGCTACACACACACACACGTGCACACGCACACACACACATACACCTTTGACCATAATTTGGTCAAACCCCAATTTGCATCCAGACAGGCCACTTCCATCCTAACAAATTGACTTCAAGCCACATCCTGCAGCTCTTCTCTCATCTCTCCTCAACATCTCTCTCCTTTCTTTTCCTCCATCACAACCACAACTGACCCCACCACCCCCACCCCCACCACCTTTAGCTGTTCCGTGATTGGCTGTTGTCAGTCATATCCATCATACAGGTGAGCTTGGCTCTGGTCTGGGGTTGCGGGCAGGTCGGCCTCAGGCTCAGAGGTTCTGAGCGGCAGTTTTAGGTTTTGGGGTATAGTTGGGTTTTAGCCTCTTTAACCGCCGCCAGCATCTACCCACCGCACAAAACACAAGGTGAGTGTGAACACACACACACACACTCATGGATATCACAATGCACAAGCGGTTGGAAGACAAATAGAACTAAAACAAACATTTACTTTAAATAACCAGTTAAAACCAGTACATGTCATGAAGGTGCACTGGTTTTATATTTCACTCACAACTGGCACAGTTCTACTAATTTTATTAAACAATAAATTAATTAGATTCAATTTCAACAATTCGAGTACCAAAACATTCGGCTCATTCAGGACATTCCTGCTGGGACTTCTGGTCTTTGTGCATTTTTTACTTGTTGAAATATTTAGCTTTGTCGGCCATGTTGTCCTCATGGAAAATGAATGGAGCTCTCTCTCCACATCCTTCAAAGCCTGGAGATGTTTGAAGCCCTTTACTGCTCATGTCAGCTTCTGTTCTGTTTCAGCTTTTTACTGCTCATTTCAGCTTCTTTCAGCTAAATTCATATTTTTTCTGCCTTTTCAGCCTCTTTCTGTTAATTTCAGCTGTTTTTTTTTTTCAGCTAAGTTTTTGCTAACTTCAACTTGTTTTTGCTGATTTCAGATTATTTGTAATCTATTCAGTCTATCTCTGCTTACTTTAGCTTACTCTGCTCATTTCTGCTACAATTTTGCTGTAGTCAGCTTTCTTTAACACATGTTTGCAGTTTTTCTGCTGCTTTCCTTTTATTTTCCTGCTTTCAGCAAATATCAGCTGTTAAAATTCAACTCATATTAAGTTTAGTGATGGAATATTTTCAGCTGAAATCATTCAGAAACATGCATTCACACTGCATTTTCACAGGAAATGACAGTTCTCTAGTTAAAACTGTTAGTTTCATAAATTGGTTGCATTTATAAATAAACACTTAAAGACAAGAAAAGAGAATCCGAAAACTTTAAAATTGTAGATTCTCTGTCCATTTACCTTCAACAATAATTGACTTTTTAAATGGCTACAATTCTGTTAGATTAAGCGACATCTGATGCTGTGATAAATTAACCTTCTGCAGGCTGTGAGTTTACCGAGGATTTTGTGACATCCAGTTTTGTTTCACAGACAAACCCACAACTTTTAAACTCACTGCAACAATGTTCACATGCAAACCTCAGGGTCAGACTTTACACATTAAAGATTACCGCTTTTAATCCCAAAAAACGAATGGAAGTTATAATCTGCATGGACAGTAAATAATTACAACTATATAATTTGAAGAAGCCGTGTGAACGCTGGGTGCTGAATGATTTGATGAAACTTGGTAAAGAATTAATTTTTAACTAAAGTGTTAAAGTTCAAACACGTAAAACAAAAGCTCAAAGTCAGCAAAACAGTAAGTAAAAGATTAGCACAACAGCTAAAAAAAACTTAAGTTTAAAGCTAAATTGAGAAAAACAGTAGCTAAAAGCTAAATGTAACTCGTTTCTGCTGGGATTTGTTTTGTAAATAAAGTTAAACACCAGTCATTTAAAAAGTATAAAGTTACATTAATGCCAATCAAGCTGATAGTTTGAATATACGAGTGGTTAAATTCACACGAAAAAGTAGTTTGATTGCAAAACTAAGACAAGACATCAGACTCAGCTTCCAGACCTAAATGTATTGATATTGTTGTTTTGGACGTCTGTGATCAGAACTGAACTGAACAAATATGATTCACAGATTCATTTTATTTTTTCCGGAACAGGTTCTCATGGCTTCAAACAGTCTGTTCAGCAGCACCAGCTCCATGCTGTACTGGGGTGAGATGCGTTCAGTGTGTGTGTGTGTGTGTGTGTGTGAGTGTGTATTACATCATGCTTTGCAGCTCTGGGATGAAACTGGTCCTCGAAGCTGGACGGTCCTTAGAACTGGAGGTGGCAGATCCAGCCATCAGACTGACACAAAAACAAAAAAACTTCAATAAAACTGACTAAAAATGCTTTTAATGATCATAGAAAGTGCAAACATTTAACCCTTTTCTGAGGTTATTTTGTAATCTTGTGTTGTTCTGCCTTTAAGCACGGTTTTACAAATAATTCATGATTAAAAATCATTTTAAAGTCATAAAATGATTAGTTTTATCTTTGCTGTGGGAACAACAATCATTCTATTTACTGGCCAGGAAAAAAAAAGAGTAAATAAACTTACTGATAGGCTTGGAGATTTAATAAATGCCTATCAAATGAAAATACCAAATGTGTTTCTATAATCTTCTCATATGTTTATATTTTTGAGTGCAATGTTTAATATGAAGTCAAGCTCTGCTTTAATTTAAAAATCCACTTTTCATTGCATGTGATAATTATATTACTGTACATTACCAGTCCTCAAATCATGTCTCTCGTGGTCGTTCTTTCCTAAAGTTACTGATTTTCCACACAAACTAGGGCCAAACTCAGACCATAGGTCATCAGTACTGTACGATCAAACAAACACCGTCAAACAAACAAACAAACAAACAAACCAGATTAATTAATATGTTGCTGTAGTTTTTTTGGTGTGTTCAAGTCATTTAGCCTGGATAATTGAAGTTTGGGTGACAGAAGAGCAGAAGCTGAGACAAAGCTTAAAAAAACAAGATAGCAGAAAATATGTGAGGCGAATAAACGCAGAGACTCAGACAGTTGGACAGGTGGTTTGACCGCACGGACTTCCCCTCCGGCAGTCAAATCTGAATAATAATACAGCGCAGTTCCCTCCTATTCAAACACTGCGGTGAGTTCATCACAACGAGGACAACAACAAAAACTGAGCGTTCAGGAGACGAAGGGAAATGAAGCGAAAAACAAGGAGAACAAGGTCAAAAATCACTTTAAACACTCACCGAGCTCTACCAAAACAATGCCACTAAACATTGATATCCTAGTTTTGCTCTATTTTCGACGCGGGCTGATGACGTAAGACGCCGCTTGTGTTGTGTCACGTAGATGTAGTTTTTTTCATTTTCATAGTCTGAAGGCTGGTGTCTTTTAAATGTATATACAGTTCACACACACACACATACACACACACATACATACATACATACATACATACATACATACATACATACATAC